TGTGGATCAACCTATTACCCAAAGAAAAAAGATACACAACCACAGCTTTGAAGTTGACGCTGTGCTTCTTAGAATTCTCTTGCAATAAATATAAACCTGAGCAAAGAGAGCCCAGCTGGTCAATCTAGATTAAACAAAGTAAGCTGGGTCAGATCGGGTTGGTACTCAGGGCTATAGGCTATTGGGAAGCTGAACAAATATCATGGAAGAAGTCAATGACAAACCAGATTTCTATCATTGCCAAGAAAGCCACATGGACATGTCCGTGAAGTTACCAGGAGCTGATCTTGACTCAAAGATTTTATCTTTTGTACAGATGAAGAGACTCTGGTCATTATATCACCTATTACCTCATGTTTCTAATGGCTGAAACTTGGATCCTGTCTTCAAGAATGCATAAAATATATTTACTTTGAAGAGCATGGATTAGAACTTAATCAAGAGGCCTTCCTATGCAATCCTACGGATGTCTACTCAGAAGTAAGCCCAGTGGGTATGGATTTATTTCCCTGTAACAGCAACCAGAAGTGGACCCATTAGATAAAGTATGGTTGAGACCTTAACAGATCTTAATATATAATGATGATGATGATGATGATGATGATGATGCTTAAGCACATCTAGCAAGATCAACAGAGATGATAGAACTTCAAGAGATGAAGTTGGTGATACAACATGTTCTGTATCACATAAGTAAAGCATGCTGACTTAAGATACAGCAGAAAATGCTGCTCCATCCCCAATGTTGAAGCAAAATTCAACTACCTTGTTGGCTTTTACACATGGGAGGGAGGTGGGGGCACAATGTTGTCCCTTATCTTGACATTGAAGTAACACTGAAATGGAGCTCACGCTGTACTCTTGCCCAACGTGTTAGCTTCCAAGTGTTCAGCCTACTATCTGTAGACCAAAGGTTTATTATTATACAGTATGTTACTTATACATTGATCATTAGGTCAGTATTGAGATACTCTGTTTCCTTAAAATCATTTTCTAACAGCTTTTAGCAGCTCAGCCAAAAGAAAACCATTCCATCTGAACAACAATGGGTCTAACCAGAAGCCCCCAAGTAAAAGAAAGTTCATAAGAAGGGAGTCTTGCAGTTTGATCGAAGGCCTGTAAAAACAGCTGTGGCTTCTTCCTCTGCAGACTTATTCTAGAAATGTGAGGTCACTACCAAAAAGAATTTGGTTCTTATATTTCCCAATCTCTTTTGAGTCTTTTTAAAGTGAATGACACAAGCCAATGAGATGTCCAAAAGGAAAAAAAAAAAGTTGCATGAAAATTGTCATAATTGCAAAACATCCTTCTCCACACCGTACCTGTCTGGCTGGTCTGAGCTGTGTTGATACTTGCTTTGCCAGTTTCAGGCCTTGCAGGATGATGGACTGGGGCAAGCCACTTCAAATGAAGAGGCTTTTGAAAGAGGCCTTTGAGTCAGTTTTTCTCATTTCTCTTAAAATAAATTTTCTGACCTCCCCTCCCACCCCATATTGCAACTAAGCCTTTTTTCAGTCATTCACAATGGAACTTCAAATAGTTTTTGTGTAGGGGAAAATAAAGTTCCAAGTAAGTTCTGTTCTGTTCTGTTCTGTTCTGTTCTGTTCTGTTCTGTTCTGTTCTGTTCTGTTCTGTTCTGTTCTGTTCTGTTCTGTTCTGTTCTGTTCTGTTCTGTTCTGTTCTGTTCTGTTCTGTTCTGTTCTGTTCTGTTCTGTTCTGTTCTGTTCTGTTCTGTTCTGTTCTGTTCTGTTCTGTTCTGTTCTGTTCTGTTCTGTTCTGTTCTGTTCTGTTCTGTTCAGTTCAGTTCCATTCCTTTTTATTCATTCATTTGTTTATCTGCTTTCAAGTCAGTTTTTGACTCCTGGTGACTTCTTCCTAGAGCTGAGAGAGAGAAACTGGTCCAAGATCACTCAGCTGGCTCTGTGCCTAAGGTGGGACTGGAACTCACAGTCTCCCAGTTTCTAGCCAGATGCCTTAAACCCTGCACCAACCTGGCTCTCTCATTATATTCTATATTCTAACGATCTCATTATATACTAGTTTGGGCTAAACCTGCTTGGCTTTTGCCTTGGGTCTCACAAAAACACAAGACCCAACATTGCCTACCATATAAGAAAATCAGGGAGTTTGTTCTGAGCTTTAAAATGATATTTTGTGAACTGTACCATCAGTTTGGATCATATCCAATGTGGTGGCCAGCTTTAGTCTGTCTAATCCACAAAATTGTTCACCTCAGTTAAGGAGGGGGGAAAAAAACTGGCTGAACATTTTCCTACAGTAGTTGCTAGCTTCAGTCCTTCCAGAATGATGGATTGGGAAAAGCTACTCACAGTGTAGAATTTACTCTATACCACTTCCACTAGAAATGAGTGACTGAGGTCCACTCAAACCAAATTCTATCTCTTGGTGAACAGAACTGATGAAAAATGATGTTCAGGTTCTAAGATTGAGAAAATTGGTCCATCATTAAAATGCAGCAGGGTTTGCTTGAAAGGAGCCCCACGTTTCTAGAATTCACTACCTTTCATCATCATTATTTTTTTAATTACCTTGTTTAAATCGGCATATCATTTCTTGCAATCCCTATCACTGCTTTTCGTTTAAAGACATTTATGCATTTTAATGGCCAAGGGTTTTATTCCTTGCTTTACTTCAAAAGTGGACTTTGTCTTCAAAGGCCTGAAAGGCAATTTAGAAATCTAGAAATAGATAACTTTACAGTAATCATGTGATGAGTTGTGCAAATGAGAAGCCATTGGTGATCTAACATACCATGAGATGTATAGCATGGATACTGAAAAAAAACAGCCTTAAGTCACAATGGGTCAAACAAGAGCAATGGAAGATGAAAAGGAAAAGGCCCATTTTGCTGATTTAATTAGATAGATGTTAAAATGAAACAGCTTTAAACCATGGGCAAGAAATATCAATATCCATGGGCATTTCCATATACAGTATATTCATTAAATTCTTTTAATGGAAAAGGTAGAATTGAGAAACAGCCAAGCTGCAAAGCAAACCAGCCTTAGCATCAACTTGGTTGGCAGGACCATCCCTGTAAACCACAGGCACGCTCAGAAGATAAAAATTGTGGTTGTCTACTGCCCTGTGCTGTTTCAAAGTGTCTTATTTGCATAGGAAAAAGCAAAGCTAAACTAGAATGGCAGAAGACATCCCGGGTCATTTCAGTCAATAACGTCATCAACTGATTTTCTGATAAATGGATGTGTTTATCACCGGTCATGCCTTCCTGTGGCAGACATTTTGTGAGAGTGCCCACAACATCCCACCAACTTTTCAAATGTGCCCTTTGATCCAAAAAGATTGTCTCTCCATTCTTTAGACTATAGCAAAAATTCAAATGTAATTTTGAGCCCATGAAACAAGTTTAAAAAAAAATGGACCAGTCAACATTTTATCATCTAAAAGCTTAGGTCCAAAAAAAGGAATAGAAGCATCTCATCAACGATAATTCAAGTCATTGTCTCAGCTGCTTCTTACTGGACAGGAAGATGTTTTGTGCCAGAAGGTCAGCTACATCAGAAGATTAACTCTTGTGTTTCCTCCTTTAAAGCTTCTTTTGCTGTTACTCGGTGAGAAAGCAACTAAATGTGCTTAGATCTGGCCTAGCCATTCCTTGTTCCGTATCAGGAATGAAAGCATTTTGGAGCTTGAATATCCAAATCAGCTCCTGGTGGAAAAGAATATCAGCCAAATTTTAGTGCCCCCAGGACACCCTGTAAAGGACTAAAGGGTTGTAACCCAACCCCCCAAAAAGTTAGATGATAATAAAATAATAATAATAATAATAATAATAATAATAATAATAATAGCAGCTATTAATATACTCAAAAGAAAACCCCTGAATTATGTTACAAGCTCACCATCCTAAATATGTTTCTAAGTATATCAAACAGCTCTGATATACGCTGGCCTTCTGCAAAGGAACATTCTGCTATTTCCATCTGCTGTAAGCATGTACCTTGTTTCTTCATGCTTAGTGGGGAAAATAGACCTGGGCTGCAGTATCAGTGCACGGAATTTGGCAAATTGCCTTCTGCAGCCTGCTCCAGGGACTTTGTAGTAGTAGTAGGAGTAGTAAGCAAACAGTTTGGTTTGCTTTTACAATTATTAGAAAAATGATATGAGCCACCAATTCCTTAGTTTCCTGTCTTCCACCAGGGGTGATTAAAAGGACAGATGGAAGAAGTAATATGTAGTGCAGCTGCTTTGGACAATGGCTGTTCTGGGACAGCGTCCCATGTGGAAGAAATCCATGAGGCTAACTTCAGGATAAGATGAATGTCCTGTCTCTCCTTTCTTTTTTTAGCTACATGGAAAATTTCAACAGATAATTAACTAAAACATGAGGGGGGGGGGACCCTCCAGATATGATGAAACCCAAAGCACATGTTTGTTTCCTCCCCTCCCCCCCCAAAAGATCTGAGGAAAAAGATTTCCTTCATCTTTCCCCGCCCCTTAATTGGGCTCTATAGGGCTTACCATGACAGAGCCAACCTTTATAAACCTATTTATTTCAGCAGAAGACTTGGATGCAATTTTCTACACCTGTGCCCGAGAATAATTCCCATTGCAATCCACTGAACGAATGCATGGGACTGGGGACTGAGTACAGTTCTCTACACAGAGCTTAATCCCACTGTTTTCTATGGGTCTTGCCTTCCCAGGTCAACGTGCACTCCCAGGCAGCCCGTAGTAGGTGTAACAGATCTTCACTCATGTCACCCTCACCAAATCTGGTGCTCTGAAGCTGCACTGCATTTCTACCGAGGTTTCAAGGACACCTGCCAGAAACAGTGCGAGGAAATAATTACTGTAGCTGATGGGAGAGGATCAAGAACGTGGTTCTTTAGAGAGCCAGCCCAGAAGAGAGATCTACCTGCGGAAAGGAGAAGCCACACGAACTTGGCATCTCCGATCACCTGATCTACCTGCGGTTGCTCTGGAATGAGTTCCAGTGGCCCGATTCCAAGCCTTACCTGGATGTCCTTCTCCCACGGATTCCGAAGTAAACATGAACACCCCCTGCTCTTCGTTTAGCGTGTGGTCCCGCAGGCAATCTAAAGTCCCATTCATCTTTGATTCTGATTAATATTTTTGCTGGTCTGGCGGGCGGGCTCCTCGAGGAAAGAAGAGCTGGGAAAGGTTGGCGATCTTCCCCCCGAAGGCACCAAAGCCGAGCGGCGCTGTCTCCTTGCACGACGAACGGCGGCTCGCGGGGTCTTCCAGGGCACAGCTCGCTGCGTAAAAGCGCGTCTCTCTGCGCGCGTCGAACCCACCTTCTCCTCGCGCTCGCGGGAGCTGTCAGGCCGCCTGGCCTCTATATATGGAAAAGCGAAAGTGCCTCGCTCATCATGTGAGAAGCTTGGAAGAGCCCATTCTCTGGCAGGGTGAAGGGGAAGCTGGGCACGGGTGGCGGAGACAAAAGAAGCCGCCAAGCGCTGTCCTTGCCCCAAAGTCTCGACCGCCCTTTCGCTCCCCCGTCTGGCCCCGGGGAAATGTTCGGCAAAGGGCCGGG